CTTTCTGCTTTCCCTGTTGGATGGTGAAGCGAAGGATATGGCCCGAGACGTGATCCGGCCTGGCAACAACATAGCCGCGAACGTGTTCTCTCGTCTGCGCCAGTACCTTACGGATGACACCGACAGGTTGACGGCCCGATACAAGTTCCAGACGACGGTCTAACAGCCGGGTGAAAGAATTCATTCATTCATTCGACATCTGCGACACTGGGCTGAAGACGCCTTCCCCAAATTAGATTATGAAAGCCAAGACTCCAAAATCTTGGATTAAGTATGCGTCGGCGTCAGACACCCGGAGATCCTCAAGAGGTTTCGTAGACACCCACCACTAACATTACAGGCCGCGCTGGAGACGGGACGATAGATTGAACAGCTCGAAAATGTGCTACGTGAGCATCGGCTTGGCCTGCCAAAGAACTTCATCCCTATCCACTGACCGAATTCCAGGGACAGGTTTCCAGACACTCGGGATTTTCGCAGGCAACACAGTTTCCACAGTTTCCCCGAAAGATATGCCCAGACGCGTTGGCCGCCACAACGGGGCAACTACGAGTACTGCAGGCGTTTTGGAACTCGTGCCGTCAAATGCGGGCACAACCAAATCAGTGGGTTCAGCGTTCCTCTCTGTCCATTTCACTACAGTGTCCTGAAAAGCAACCCCATGCTGTCTATCATGTTATGGGGGAGAAGATTGCAGGTATTGATCGACACAGGGGCGGCTCGCTCAGGCAAATTCCCTTAGATGTACCACTTAGTAAAACAGGGGTCAAACTAGTAACAGCCAACAACGGTCTCCTGTACGTCAAGGGCACGGTAACTGCCCCTATCAGCATGAATGGCATGATAATTTCACAAACACTAATTGCGTCAGACGTTTACGACGGGATGTCGTCCTGGGAATGGACTTCCTCCAGGCTAACCAGGCTATAATTGATTTACCAAGACGTTCGATTACGATCAGGGGCCAGCGAGTCGTATTCACACAACCACAGACCACGAGACGGGGATCAGCGCCATTGGGAAGTATCAATGACGTTAGGCAACTGCTTTCACCAGTAGGTATTGCCCCTCCTGTCAGACAGAAAATCTGCGATTTAGTCAAGAACGATGCTCCAGTAGTGGAACCCAAATGCGTCAAGGAACTTCAGCATGTGATCGAACAGTATGCTGACGCATTCACGTGGAGTGACACAGCTGGGTGAAACGTCGAATTGATACAGGAAACGCCGCACCGATAAAAATCCCTTCCAGACACATACCGGCATTTTGGATGAATGAGTAAACCAAGACCATTCGGCATATGGAGGAATGTAACGTGTCGACTAGAAGCAGTTGAATGAAGTAATAAAAAGGATTCGTTTTCACTGCCCAGAGTTGACGATCTGTTCGACGCACTGGTGAACGCGAAATACTTCAGTACTCTGGACTTAACATCTGGATACTGGCAAGAGGGAGTAGATGAAAAAGACCGCCCAAAACAGCTTTTCCCACACCATCAGGGCTTTACGAGTTCTAAACGATGCCGTTCGGAATAGTGAACGCTACATCTACGTTCCAACGATTAATGCAACAGGCCTTACAGGGTCTGATCCAAAACCAATGCCTGGTTTATTTGGATGATGTAATCATCCACGGAACCACGGAAAAGAACCACTTAGATATACTAAAACCAGTCATCGATAGGCTGAGAAAGATAGGCCTCAACCTGAAACCGGGAAAATACCGCTTTATGCAGTTAAGGTTACATACCTGGTACACACCATTTCGACAGCAGGGATCCACACAGACCCCAAAAAAGTTGAACAAGTACAATCTTGGCCTACACCACAGAGTTTGGAAGTCAGAAGCTTCCTAGGATTAGCGTCCTACTACAGGCGATTTAATGCCAATTTTGCCAGAATTGCGTCACCCCTACACTCTATGGTGGAAAAGAACAAACCATTTAGATAGGAGGTTGAATGCGAATGGTCATTTCAAACACTCAGAAAACTTCTTCGTTCAGTACCCCGACACGTATCTGTCCGCTGGACAGTTTATTCTTGACACAGATGCCAGCGACACTGCGATCAGCGCAGTACTGTCACAAATCGGGCGAGATGGAAAGGGACACGTTATAGTCTACGGAAGCCGATGCTTGAGCTAAAGTGAAAGGAACTACTGTACCACCCGAAAAGAGATACTGGCACTGATATTCTTTCTGAGACACTACGGGCACTATCTAATCGGCCGCAAATTCATTGTCCGCACTGACCACCAATCCTTAAGCTGGCTACAAAATTTCACAGATGCTGAAGGTCAAACGGCGTGGTAGCAAGAAATAATCCAAGAATAAGACTTCGACTGCTACCACAGACCCGGAAAAAGCACACCTACACCGATGCGTTGTTGCGACGCTCTTCCCACCACCATGGAGATTGCCCAACTGGCGCCAACCAATACNACGGGCGGAATATGGGCTTTGGCAAGCACTCCAGGCAAACATCCCAGAAACAGCGTTCATCTATGACAGACTAAGCTCAGGTGGTGACCAACCGACCAGCCGTGATATGGAAGGAAAAAGCTACGAGAGCCGGTGCCTTTGGTCGATGTGGAACCAGTTGAAAATGGTGGAAGGAGTGATGTTTGTCCATTACGGTCCAGACTACACATCACGGATAGTGGTGCCGCAGACACTGGTTCGCGAGGTTCTACAAGACCTACATACAGAGTTAGGTCACGCGGGTATCAACAAACTAGAGTTTGCAGCGAGACAACGTTTTTGGTGGCCAGACCTACATAGGGACGTCGTAAACTTTTGCAACGCATGTGAACTCTGCGGCAGTTTCAAAAATCCGTCCCACAGTAATCGGGCACTACTCCAGACAGTCACTGCTGGATAATCGAACGAAATGGTCAGTGTCGACATAATGGGGCCCCTGCCGGACACGCTAATGAACCATAGATACATTCTTGCACAGGTTGACTGCTTCATTAAATGGTGTGAGGCCATACCCCTGAAACAAGCGGACGCTGTGACTGTAACAGAAGCCATATTCGACAGATGGATCTACAGATGGGGGGCACCCGGACAGCTGCACTCAGACCGTGGATCGAATTTCGAAAGCGCTTTGCTGAGGGAAGTGCGCAAAGCCCTGGGCATAGAAAAGACGATAACAACAGCCTACCATCCCCAGGACAACGGCCAGGTGGAAAGAACAAACCGCTCACTAAAATCCCTGCTGAAGGCCGTCACAGACATCAACCCCAGGGAGTGGGACCGCGTACTGCCACGCTGCCTTCTAGCTTATAATAGCACGATCCAACGATCCACGGGCCAGACACCACACTTCCTGTGGACTAGCAGAGAGGTAAGACTTCCGAGAGACAAGCGACTACCAATGATCGACCGCCACCCACTGATGGTCACAGAGTACGTCGAAGATGATCGACTCATTAAGAACAGCAAACCAGATGACCCGCACGCACCTCGAAGTATCGCAGAGATACCAGAAGGGTTATTACGACAAGAAGTGCTTCGGAGCCCGATTACGAGCAGGCGACCGGGTATGGTTTCACAAGACACAGAAAATTCCGGGAGTACCAGCGAAACTCTATTAGGCATGGCGCGGACCCATTGTGGTAGAACGAGTGCTATCAGATACAAACTGTGTCGTTCAGGAAGTTGGATCGACGCAACCATCTTTTGTGGCACATTTCAACCAACTCAAACCATACCTACCACACGCCACCCCGTAGACAAATAATAGCGAAAACAATTTGAACCCGCCGGAGGTTGCCGTCGAAGTAGAGGTGCCGATTGAGAGAGGAATCGCTAGGATGTCGAGGACCACGCTTTTGGGAGAAAAGGATAGTGTAGTGTGAAACCGAAACTGACTGACGCCCAGTAATTGAATGTCGAACTGTCGTTGACAACCACCTTTTCCCCTTTTCTTTTACTGGCTGTACAAATTGCAGGACGCCCAGCACAGTGATACAAGAAAGTCATAACGAAGACCAAATCAGCACCCACACGTAACATTACCATTTTGTATTGTATCTATTTCATAGTGTAGCTACGTTTTGCATCAATATAATTCCGTCTGAATTTGTTGAGTCTTCTCCCTGATCGAAACATACTACAATATATATATATATATATACGGTATAGAGAAGACAATGTATAAAGCGATTAGACAAAAAGAACAACAAGGAATTCTGGACTCATGCATCGATGCGATAACTAGACCTGTCGAGAACATAATAACTCTAAAGTACGAGCTACCTACGATCCACAAGTATGACGCACCATTGTGTTATATTTCGAAAATGAGTAATTCTCCGGTAAAGTGAGAAACCGGTCCAGTCCAGTCAGTTAGAAGAGAAGTCGCCAAGTACAAACTATGTATGAAACTCCTTATATGTATGACAAAGACGTTGCACCTACCGACATAACCAACAAGCAGATGTTCTCGTTGGACATTAATTCCTTATAAACCAATGTATCACTCCACAAGACCACGGATTTCCTCGTAGGTTAGATTGAAAATTCATGGCACACCACGAGACCCCTCAAAATGTGCATATAGAACACACAGATGCAAGGAGATGATACGACCTATAGACAGAAAGACGGAATAGCAATGTGTTCACCAACAGGACCACAAATTAGCAGATATTTTCATGGTTTAATTACAAAACGGATCGCTTTTAAAATCGACCAATGATTTCTGGATGACATCCCATGTGTTTATGAAACTAACAAGAGTGCGAATAATCGGTCGCGGAATTTCGATAGACAGCCGATTTGAAAATGGAGTTCACACTGCAAAAAGTATCGATATCGATAGATAGTATCGCATGCCTGAAGGTGTTCTCGCCCCGACGCACAGACGGCACTTTTCGAAGAACCATTCGCCATAAAAACACGTGAATGAGACGGCGTACACCCACAAACTGAAGTCTCGTTCTAATGCGCTGCTTAACCAATAGACTTAGAATTGTAAAATATATATGATGATTTTCTAGAGAATGGATGCTTTGAGTCGTTCATGCGCGAAAAAAATGTGACATCCAATCAAGGCATTGTGGGACACAGTGAACACAAAGCCTGTCAATTTCTCTAGCCTATATTCCGGAGACATACGGTTGCAAACTTCGAGTAAGCCAATTAAAAAATCGATTGGCCACAGAGATATGCGGCTGCACGATGAGACGTCTATTTGATCGCACAAAAAAGTATCATCCCGGTTGGTTGAACTAGGGATTAAAAGGATTGGAGCCAAGGTAAATTACCAACCAACAGACTCAGTCTGGTTATATAGTGAATGTGCTTTGCGTCCCCTCTGGACGGTCGAAGAGCGATTGTTCAGAGATCAAATACGCATAAGAATAATCACAATCACAGCATCCAATGAAATGGAATTTAACGTTACCTAATACAAAGTGTTATCACTACGTTACAATGGTCTTTTTTTCCAACACTCTCGGGCACGAAACTCTGCCTCATGCTCCACCCGAGAAGGATCTGGGAGTAGTCATTCGCACAGACTTGAGTTGCTCCACAAACTGTTCCAGGGCATCGTGCATGGCGGCTTTGCTTCCACGTCTGTTAGCCACATATGTTCGTCAGTACATCGATTATTCAATTCAGGCCTGGAATCCATGGCTGCATCGAGATTGGAAGGTTCTCGAACATCCGCAGAGAATGGTTACCAAGATAGTCAAAGGTCTACATTCCAAGACCTATGTCAAAAGATTACAGCTACTGGGGTTATACTTGTCTCGATATCGTCAAATCGGAGATTTTCTAACAGCTCAACCGTTCATGTAGATCTCTTGTTGGTTCTGTCAACCAATGTCCATCTCAGAGGACATCCACTGAAGTCGGCAATGTAAAAGAGCCGTTTCGACTGCAGACGCCATTCGTTTGCGATCAAACTGTGCAACACATGGAACTCCCTACCACCTCACGTAGTTCGTGCGCCAACATTTCAAGCGTCAGCTTGATGATGCTCTGGCAAACATTATGTTTCAACACCCAACCACATACTATATTCTACTGTGCTCGTCACAAACATTACATTACTCTTTTACGTACATGGACTAATTGTGATCTTGTAAATCGTGTTCCAAACCCAAAGTGTAAACACCTTATGAGATTTGATAAGCGAAGTCTTTGTAAGTTTTTCCCATAATAAAAATTTGAGTTTGAATCCTATTTTAAACTATTACCCGTTTTGCAAACATGTGCCTCCTCACACCCCTAATTTGGGCTTACTCTAGAATACGGTGTACTTACGCAGTTGATGAAACACCAAAAACAAGCCAGCTGGTTTACCAACCAGTGTCCTGGGTGAATCATTAGTCTAGTGGTATTCTAATTCTGTCAAACAGAGTGTGCAAATAATATTTCGTGGAGTCTCGAGGAACTAGCCAACCAGACTTTTTATCAGTATCAGCAGATTCGAGAATCGGGGTGACATTCACGACCAAATCACATTGTCATGTTTGTCCAGGTGAAGACAAATCACCAGTTTTTATCTTGGACACTCGCACACAGCCCAGAGTGGATTGGAGTTATTATTTCTTATTCCTTTGGGTTTCAAATTTCCTAGATTGTACTGGCACGTTTAAAAATACGGTTAGCAATTCCTCGCTTGATTGTGTGTTCTTCAGACAACCATAGATGTATTCCAATGAGGTACAACAAATTTAGTGAACTTTACCAATGATCAAAGGATGAACTCACTTTCAGCAATGTGAGTAATATGCCAGCGAATCCATGAGCTCCACCCAAGTACACTTTGTCATGCCAATCAAACATCAACGGAGGAATTGGTAAATCTCGATACTCAGTACGACGCAACAAAGCCCGATACTGTCCATCCGATTCGTACTGTCTCGATCCGTGAACACCGCTCCGAAGAATCGTACCCGTGACCTGTGTAAACCAGACCGGATATTCATACATGTGATCAATGTGAATCGGGAGATAGTTCAACCACGTTCTTCAACTGAGGCACCTGACTTTTCAGTTACGCAAAATTAGGCAACTCCGCAGATTTAATTCTTGAAACAGCCCTATCCTCGTGCAAAGATAGTGGCATCGATTTACTCCCAGTTGGCAGATTGTCTGATCTAGAGTATGCAGACGACATTGTGCTACTAAGTGAAGATCCAGGTAATTTGCAAGCTTTTCTGGAAAGTTTGAGTGCTAATGTAGCCATATTCGGTATGCGTTTTGCACTCTCAAAGTGTAAAATGCTACTACAAGACTGGGTTGGTCCAGCACCTAGCCTTACTCTAACTGGGGAAGTAACAGAGCAAGTGGGTAAGTTTTGTTATTCGGGCAGCTACATCTCACCCGGTAGACGCATGACGGATGAAGTGTCAGCTCGCATACAGAAGGCTCGATTGGCATTTGTCAACTTGAGACATTTGTGGCACCGTCGCGACATCCGGCTGTGTGTGAGTGGTCGGGTGCATGTTGCAGCAGTTCTGCCAGTTCTGCTATATGGAACAGAAACTTGACCATTGAGAAAACAGGATACAGATAGACTGTCGGTGTTTGAACACAACTGTCTGCGCAGCGTTGCACAAATCTGGTGAGGCAACCGGACGAACAATTTTGAGGTTAGAGTTTGAGATAATTGCTGGAGCAAGTGATCGACCTCCATAGATTACGTTGGTTGGGACATGTGTTACGCATGTCATCAAATAGGTTGCCACGGCGAGCGGTGTTTGCTGAGGCAGGTACCGGTTGGAAGAAGGTCAAGGGTCGTCAAACTAAAACCTGGCATGAGGGTATCAAAACCCTGACCAGGAGCCTGGGTCACATGGGGACCTCGGGATGGTCGTAACCGATGGTTAGAGACACTGAGTGATATGGCTGGGTGTTGTAGACAGTGGCATTCATGCATCTCCTCAATTTCTCTGTATCATTAGACTACTGAACTTTACAATTTTCTCTTCGATTCTACTTTCAACCTTTCCTGTCTTTCTCCTAATGTTTATGCAGATGGGAAGCTAACAGACAGCAACCAAAACCGGCGCACGATAGTGCATGGTTAATGGTTATACAAATTGAACTGAACTGTACGCCTCAAATATAAAGTATTCCGTGATTATTCCGTTTCTTTGACTCTTCAGACCCCTTTGGAATACGTTGTTTAACGTCAAAGCAAAGTATATATATATATATATATATATATATATATATATTTTCA